CCTAGCCTCGAACCTCCCAAACTTTGGCCTAACCTCGAACCGCCCAAACTTTGGTCTAACCTCAAACAACCCAAACTTTGGCCTAACCTCAAACAACCCAAACTTTGGCCTAACCTTGAACTACCCAAACTTTCTCCCACAGCAGTACCGGGGTCCCATCCTCTCGTTTCTGCCCCAGCCCAAGTCCGCTCTGCGTCCCGTGTTTGCTGAGCTGAATGAGATCATCACGCACCACAAGATGTTCCAGATTGAGCTGGCCGAGGCGGTCAGACGCTGGGACATGGAGGAGAAGATTGGGGACATCTTCACAGCCTCTGTACGCTCACCGCACAATTCTCTGGAGTATTTGGACAAATAAATAAACTCCTCGTTTTTCTAAATTTTATGGGTTGCAAATTTTTGGGTGAAAATAAAGTGTAGTTGAAGGAAAGGCAAATTGAAGAACATTTTGGAGGTGTCTTTCTTTATATAGAAGTGGTTCTAAAGTATTGCAAAAATTTGGCTTTGGAAGAAGTACTTATTTTCCACGAGTGTGGCTTAGAACAAATTCCTATAGTTGTATCATGTATACTGCTGTAAGATCTACTTCCTCTATGTCTAGTTATGATGGTTTCAGTCTGTCTTTGGCAAAAGCTGATCTGTATTGTGTTGAAGAGATTTCTGTTTTTATTTATGTGGGCTTAATGTTCAGAAGAATAAGCCTGTCCTTCACTTGTTTGTTTTTATGTCTTTGATTAGAAGGCACTCGAAAGGTTATTTAAAGCAATATAAAGATTTGATAAAGTTCCTACATAGAATTTTTGAAGTGTATCATGATCCGTTCATATATTTCTTGGGAATGTTCCCACTTGTTTGATATTTGCTTTCACCATTGAGTTCTTTCCCTTTTTTTTTCCAAACTCTTTCAGTTTTCCAAAACTATGTTGGTGAACGCTTACAGCATTTACGTCAACAACTTTGCTGCCGCCATGGAAGAAATCCGAACGCTGCAACGAAGCCGACAAAGTTTTGACACGTTTCTCAAGGTTTGTTCTACACGTTTCCGTTGAATCTGTCTCATGTCATTCTGACCTTGTATTGTCGGAAATGACGACACGCTCCTAGAAATAAACAGTCACCCCCGGGGCAGTGCCACTGACTGAAGTGTCTTTAGTCCCAAAGCGGGGACATAACCATGTTCTTATGCACAGTAGAATTGTAATTGTAAATGGGCTGATTCATCAATGTCATGCTCATAATATAACTGTGCCTGAACTGCAACGGGGAATTGGCGCTCATATGACCTTATGCAGTTGTGAGCACCGTAAAACCTCTATTTAAACTAAACGAAAGGGAATTGCTGCTTTTTCTCTCCTAATCCTTACTATCATCATTTTTCCTCTACTTCTTTTGTATGTTTGTCACACTCTTGTGACCCGCTATTTCCGGGAGTGGCGTCGGTAGTCTAGTGGTTAGGCTACCGGACTCGTAATCATGAGATTGCGAGTTCGGGGGTTCGAGCCTCAGCTCGGTCCGACGTTGTGTCCTTGGGAAAGGCACTTTACACAAACTTCCCACTTGGCTCGGTCCTATCGGAGACGGACGTTAAACTAGGAGGTCCCGCCCCTTAAATAACCTAATAGTGTTGATAGGGGCGTTAAACCATACCATTTTCTATTTCTGGGGTGCCTTGATAGTCGAAGCAGACCTCGTGCTGTTGAAGCTAGAGAGGTGAGCAGAGTAAGTCTGATTCCATGTAAAGACTTCTCTGTTGACATCCACCCCTTGGAGCTCATATGACCTTATGCAGTTGCGAGCGCCGTAAAACCTCTACTAAAACTAGATTAAAATAAACAGTCTTAATCTCGGGGATGTTTGGGTCCTGTGTGTTCTCACTGAAACCCTCCCACCTTGTGTGATCCGAAACGTGCGGACGGTGGCTGTTGTCTGGGGCATAGCAAGGAAGTCAAAATCTCAAGGGAGGGGAGTAGTTCTTGGGCAATCTACTTCCTCTATGTCTACCCCACAAAGCTGTATCATGTATACTGCTGTAAGATCTACTTCCTCTATGTCTA